CTTCAAAGCTGCTTTTATCTCTGCCCTTATCTCTCTCTTTTTTCCGGGAACCCGAACTAACCTCAGCCGGAAAGGTTTTTTGTAAAGCTCGCATGGGTGATTGATCAAAACTAGAGAAAAGAGAAGATAATCAATAAATTAATCAAGATTTACCCATCATTTTAAATCAAACACCCTTCATCATAATCAGGAAGTTGGGTCAGAGACAATTTTTCAATCAAGGGACAGGCCGACAATATTTTTGAGACCATATCATATTCACATCCTTCAAGCTAAGGTATTCGAGCTTCGAACATCTTACCTTTTGATCCAGAACCAGGTCGTTAATCGTGTACCCCTCCACAGATAAACCGACGAGGTTCTCAGCTCCTAACACCTGATGCGGCAAAAAGGGTTTCCCTCCACTGGAAAGCTCGAGCTTCAAATCGAGATGTTTGGCGCCCAATCTCAGTGCTGTCATAATCAATTTGTAGGAAAGACTAAATGCTTCCCACTGCTCGCGCTTCAGGGAGAGCCTGAAAGTCTCGATCATTAGGTTCGACTTTACGTACCTTTGAATGTTCTTCTTGGCGAATTCCGAGAACTCATCCTTCATCTTTTTGTAGCGGTTGTGGTTGTAGGGGCGGCGAGTTTCTCTGAACTCGGTCTCGTCCAAGACGAGGTTCGAGTGAGTTAACCAGGCGCTGTGCCAGGATTTTGAGATAACGGTTGTTCGAGCAGCTTCTTTTGGGGTGAGAAGGGATTGGATACGATGGATTATGGGCTCCGGCAACGGAATTGTTTGGCGGTGTCAATCCATTTCTGCAAAACCCTACAAATGGGATTTGGGTTTCGACGGAAGTAATTTATAATAGTCGGTGAAACCCTCTTGGAACTATATACTGTGCGGCAAAATAACTTTACCCTAACTAGTACGTGTACGAATAATCATTTTATCTATACTAAGAATTAAATAATTAATAATTATAAACTCAATAATACAAAAAAATTAAAATAATTTATCATATATTATGAAAATTTCGTCGTGCAAGGCATTATCTACTAGACGCGACCCGTGCGGCGCACGAAACAAAGTATTTTAAAACTCAATAATACAAAAAGATTAAAATAATTTTATCATATATTATGAAAATGTCATCGTATAAGACATTATATACATGACGCGCCCCGTGCGACGCACAAAACAACGTATTTAAAGTGGAATCTTTATAATTCGCAGGGTATTAAATTATGAATGAGTTATTTTACATATGACAACAATACAGAGATAACCAACAACATGAAAAACCATCGATCCAATATATAATTGCAAAATTTGTTGAGCCCAAGTGACATTCTCTCAAGCTTCAAAATATTATTTGGGAAAAATCATGATTCGGATTCGGACTATGTAGTTTTGCTATGAAGTCATCGGATGACTCGACTTATGGAGTACACTTTATTTACCAATAGTGTATTGACACGTGTCCTACAATAAATACACTTTGGACAAGTGTCAATACATTAAGTGGTGAATGACTCCATAACAAAACTATATGATGGCTCCATAGAATTTTTGTCGGTCTCTGATATAAATTAATATTTTTTATACAAAACTAAGTAGGTTTGGATTTAATTTAATGTCTATACCATTCATATAAATCCTAATTGATCTATTCCTTCTTTTCTTCTACAATTACTTACCATAAACCATTTTAAGTTTCCTTTTATACATTACCATATATTACATTTTATTTTCTCACTAGTGTTGATATCCGTGCGATGCACAGAGTGCAATACAAAAATATTTTTTTACTTATATATTATAAAATTATTTAAAACAATATTAAATTATGTTCTCGACAATATTCTATTCAATAATATGACATTTATTTATTTACTATTATTGTTCATTTCTATTTTTATATATATTTTTTTGTAGTTTTTGACTATTCAATATAAAATTTTATTACTTATAAGTTTAAAAAATATTATAAATGTATAAGATCATATGATATTTGCATACAAGTTACTTGTATGTATTTATAAAATTTGTTTATCATCGTCTTATAATACTTTTAACAATTCATAATTTGCACATTGCATGATAATTGGCCAACGTTTAACCCAGAATATTTATCTTCCGCTACAATTATTAAGTGTATTAAATGTTAAGAACTTTAATAAATAATTTTAATTTTTAATAACTTTAATCCTTATGCAGCACACAATTTTTTTATGGTTAAATATTTTATTTTTATGTTTTCATATTTTATTTATATTTATTTCTTTAATTTATTTTTTCAACCTATATAAAGAGTAGTGTTGTTAAATTAAAAAAGTCTAGCTCGGCTCGTTAAGGCTCGGTTCGGCTCGAGTTTGAAGCCTTAACGAGCCGAGCTCGAGATAATTTAAAGCTCGTTAGGTTAACGAGCCGAGCTTGGCTCGATAAGACTCGTTAAGGCTCGAAAAGTGAAATTTATGTAATTTTTTATAGTTCGGCTCGTTAAAGCTCGAGATCGGCTCGTTAAGGCTCGAGCTCGAGGCCTTAACGAGCCGAGCTCGAGCTTGATTTTTGGCTCGTTTACTTAACGAGCCGAGCTCGGCTCGACTCATTAAGAGCTCAAGCTCGAGCTCAAACACCTTAAGCTCGAGTTCGGCTCGGCTCGTTTATAGTCCTAATAAAGAGTAACTTAGTATCTATTCGAATATTTAGATATATTATATATTTCCATAATTACCAAGTGTTATAGATTAAATTATTGTACATTGTTTTTTTATTAACTTCTTTTTCATTTATAAAAATAAGAAAAAAACATATATTTTTAAAAATTGAATAGCTTTTTTATGTACGTTGATACTTCTAAGGTGAAATTCATAATTATGAATTGCACCCGACCATCAAATTTTATTTTTATTAGTATATTATTTAAATTTCAATAGTATTATCACTGCATAAGATATATTCAAATGGGATGTACCTTTTTATAATTAAATTTACTAAATTTTAGAAAATTTTATTAGTACTTTAAATTATTTATTAAGTTATTATGATTTAAACATATTTATTCCAATTATTTTGTTAAATATTTTAATTACTTCTGAATAGTGAATATATATAATTAAGTAAATTAATACTTACAACTGGTAGGTGATAATATATTTAATCAAATCAATTTTTTCATAATAATATTTTGAATTGTGTCAATAAATTATAATTAAATTAATATAAGGTCTTATTGAAAATATATCTAATAAATTTCAATTTAAGCCAATTTGTAGTTAATCAGTAATCGTCATTGAGTGTATAAAAATTAATTATGTTTTTAATGCAAGTGTAAGCGTCCGGGTCCGGTTTGGAGTAGATCGGTTCTTGTCCTCGCCGGTAGAACGCCGGAAACCTGCAAACAACTCTCACACCGGGGGTTGGGTCCGGTGAAGAGCCTCCGATGTTTAAGTCAGTATGTGTATGAGTATATTGAGATTTAGAGAATGGATAGAATGTCTTAAGGAAGAAAGGTTCATCCCCTTTTTATAGGGGTGAGATACCTGCCCTAATAACTGCCCGGATAAGGATGGGCTGGCTGCCCAAGCTGCGAGAATTTAACCTTTTATACTTTGAAATTGTGTTTTTAATTTTTTGTTGAATTAAGAGAAAATTCTTCATAATAGATGGGAGGTGAAAAATATAAGAATTATATATAAAATAAAGTCTAAAAAATGTTAAAATATAAATTTCTCCGTACATCGCACGAGGTATATTCTAGTCAGAACCATATGACACTAAGTTATTAGTTAACTTCAAATACAGGTTCTCCTAGGGTTGTCAGAAAAACCCACCGGGTCGGGTTACCCGTGGGTAACCCGAAAAATCGGGTCGGGTATACCCGATAAGAGCGGGTTTTGGGTCGGGT